CCATTGCCTGCCGAGGGACGACCGCTGTTAAGAAAAAACCTTTTTTCTAAATTTTTTGCGATGTTGCTTTGACCAGGGTTTGAACCCAGGCGTTGCGGAGTGGAAGCGCGCACTGCTTACCACTACACCACAGCGGTCGTCTTAAAGGATAATAAGTTGTATAATTCTGGAGGAAAATCTACAATTTTTTTTTTGTGTGGCACCCTAAAATATACATATGCGTACAATATATTTTGAGGTCAACGCGTTAGCGCACACAAGGGGTGGGTTTTGGGGTTCAAACCCCCCCTAAATCTAATAACCTCAAATACAATCTGTATCTTAAAGCTAAGAATCCAGCTCTCAAGGAAATTATAAGAAATATTTATTATAATTTCTGTTGCTTGAAAAAGCGCATTGCTTTTGCTGTAAATTTTCATGAGGGAATAAATATACGAGCATTTGTTTTCTTGAGAGCTGCAAACTGATTTAAGAAATTTTGGTAGAAGAAAATTTCTTTTCCATTTCTCGTCCGTCGTTTTATATGAATTTTTCGTTTTTCTTGAGAGTTCAGTTAATGTTTTCGGTATTTGAAATATTAAAAAAATTTAGCAATCGCGAAAAATCAGCACCTCTATCGAAAATCAGAAATCGAAAAAATGAACATAGAAGCGCAAATATTCATGGAATCAATAAATTTAATTTTACTGCCTCTTTTTTAAATTTTTTTATTAGGTACTTTTGAAAGTTGAGCGCATCTTGAGTTTATAGAACTTTTTATTAAACAAGTAGTTTTTAAGGAAAGAACACAACCGACTTCAATTCTCCTATTCAAATTTAGGGGTACCGTTAACTTCTTCATGATCCAATCATCGGATCTCTAAAATTACGGTACTATCTTTCTAATAAAAAAAGGATTATTGAAAACGGTTCACGTGGTCCAAAGTTTTGTATTCCGGCGAGATGATAACCTCCCTTTTTTTGAAGTCGGTTAAAAGCGTTTGAGTTCTGTTAATTTGTAAATAAAGTGCAGTTTATGAATTTCAAAACGTTTATTTATTTATTACATACTGTACATAAAACTTGCATAAATGTATATTAAAGAGGGTATTATCTGAAGCAAATTTTCAGTATTTTCCGGTGATATATTTTCAGAAATATAAAACCCCCCCCCTAAAATATATTCCTGGGTGCGCCCCTGGATCACCGTCAGTTAGCCAACTGTTCTGATTGCCACTTGGCTTCATTACACATTTGAGCAGCATACTATTAGCTACTACTTTCTGGCTATAAAACACCATAGGGGTTTTGGAAATTGAAGACTGATAGATACATAGCTCATGTCATGAAACTTTTGTCAAGCTTCAACTCATCCATGAACAAGTCTACCACATCCTTTCTCCAGCAATTGCGAGCATATGTTAAACGAACACGCTGCTTGTATATAGCGGCAAAGTGATTCATGATATCAGGAACAAAGTTGAATCCACCAATAATTTTGGTTGGAGTGCGTAGCTGTTTAAGCACCCCGTTCCACTGAACTCCATCGCTGCACTTACAACAATAACTTTGCATTAATACCAACAACTACTGCCTTAAGCATGGCGTTAAAATATCGGTCGGAATTAGTTTAAAGTTCGCAACTATTTGCAATAAAAGCAGCCTGCTTTAGCTGCCAAGCCAATGAACTTTTTCATGCCGAATTTCAACAGACTAGGATCCCATAGGATGTGAGAATTAGACAGGCCTCTTAAATCGTTAAATAGCCGCAGAATTTTTGCTCTTTACAAAGTAAGTTTGGGAAATTAAAAGTGGAAGTCGATTTGAAGTCTCTTTAGTTTTGAACTAATTTGAGTTGAACAAAAGTTTTTCTCACATCAACAAGCCACTTGCTTATTCAAGAAATTTTCACAACCCGCCCAACTTGTTTCACTTCTACGCACTTTCTTTTGTTGCCTATTCAAATTTAAACAAAGTATTTATTTCCTTTAAGAATTTGCATAATTTTGGCTTGCAGAGCTTTACGAATTCCAACTCCAATTCCCCTTCGCAGAATAAACTGTGTAAGCTTTCACTTTTCGCTCATTTTACCGCATAACTGAAGTCATTAATAAATCGAATTTGCATCGTTAGCAAACGGAAAAACTCTCGACGAATCACACCAACCACCTCCCTCCCCCCACTACTCTGCTTTAAGATGCAAAGTCATTGTCAATAATAACGAAAGCATGCTGCAGCGCCAACATTCAATTGCCCTTCACATTGGGGAGCAGCTAAGTAAATTATTTATTCACAGTACTCGTAGCATTGCTGGGCTTGCTGTCGCTTCGCTTTTTTGCCATTGTTCTTCTGTCTGCCAAAAATCTTCGACTTTAAAATCAATTCTCCTCATGGCTGGTGTGTGTGACAGAGTTTAAGCTGATGGTACTCCGACTTTGTTCGCTACAGTCATTTGAGAGATTTCAACGCAAAACGGCTGCGCGCTTTTGTTTGAGGAAAGCAAAAGTATGTAAATGACGCAATGAAGTAGAAAATCGAGGCTGTGACATTTTCTGGCTGCCAGGCAGATAGCTACGAGTATTGCCGAAATTTCGCTGTTTTTGGGGTGTTTGGGGTTGCTGCTGCCACCAACGAAATTGGAATTGAAAGTTGATTGTGTATTGTTTTTGTTTT